CTTTCAAGAAGTAAACTTTCCATTTTTGTTTCTCAAACAGCCACTTCCGCTGGAAACAATAGAGGTACCCGGCAATTTTGAAACGCTCATGGCAGCCATGTTTGTTTACAACTCGGCAGTGGATCTGATCGCGCGCGCCATCGCTTATTTCTCTCCCGAGTAATTTGCTTGCGTGTATCCTGGAATTCATTCTCCGCGCGGTCAAAAAAAAACCGTTTCGAGCCTCCTTAAATGTAGAAAGAGCTATAGTTTCACGAGTATCGAGCGGAATATTGTTCCATAAATTTCCACCATTTTTTCGACCAACGCAGGTATTTTTTCTTACACGATGGATTTTGACACACGTGGAGTTATCCATAAAATGAACAGAAATGGACAGACAAGAATAATCGCCACTCGATCCTCCGACGGATATGGAGAGACAAGTGATGTGCTCGATCCTCGGCTTAGGGGCTGAGTAACTAGTAGCACCAAAGACGAGGAGAAATCATGGTGGTGCGTTTCCTTGAGTGAGACATGGGTATTGTATCTCAATCTTTACACCCTGAGACATGGGCTAACAGTTGGCGATTCGATAATCCGTCATTAGAATCTCGAAGGTTCCCTAGATGGGTCGACATGGATACTGTAGAGGGAACACGTTAGAGATCACAAACTCAACGGGGAACATCCTTTCTCTGCTGCCTTGTCAATCGATGGAGAAGTGGGAGCTTTGCGGTATTTCAGGATTGTTCAGACAGGCAAGAATTCTTCCGGTGGATACGGCCTTCCGGTGGATACGGTGGATACGGTGCTTATCAAACGGTCCGACAGTCAATAAGTTTGCCAGGAAGTCGACAACGTCGACGAATTTAGGAATTGAACAGGATTATCCATTCTCAATATCACGAACCACAGCTGGTGGAAGCCTTAACTGAGTACCCAGGTCTCTCCAGGATGCACCTACGTCATCACATATTAACAGCATGTGATTTGAATTAACAGTTGTATGTCCATACCATATACTACTTAGAGTGTCTGTGAAATACGAGTATATACGATTGAAATTCCAAACAATTGTTAACAGAAAGGATGAGACTTTAATTCTAATTCAACCAGAAACGGTAAAATTAAAATAAAATATTCATCTTAAACTTGTGAGAAAGATTGTTGATATTTCACTCGATAAACTGTAAATTACAACTACGAAAATGCAAACTCGCATTTGTTAAGAAANGAATGACAAGGACACATCGAAACCAGTCGCTAGACATTTTAATTTACCTAATCATTCTAAGCAACATATGGCAATCTGCGGTCTTTCCTTACACTTAGGTAGCACGGAAAGCCGTAAAACTCTTGAACAAAAGCTCATCTTTCAAACCGGCAGTCTAAATCCCACAGGGATCAACGAACGCTTTTCATTCCACTAATTTATTCGTGTTTTTCTCGTTGCCATGTTCCCACCAATAACGTAGCTCCATTTTCTGCCTTTAAAAGCACACACAACCCACAATTCCTCTATTCGCTCCGACGAAGGGCTAACGCTCGAAACGTCAGCTTTTGTAATCGTTACGGTGGCCAATTTACCATTTCAACTTTGTTAATATATCCAAATTATTTCGTTACCCCCCCACCGACGCAGCCCCAAACAGTTTCTTTAGAAACTATCGGTCTCTTCTGTTCTGCCTGAAAATGATATGATCCCTCAAAGTCTTCCCTCCTATTCCCGAAGGCGATAAATAACGACTGGTCCCTAAATTACTGGCTTTATACTGTAGTCTCATCCTTTCTGTTAACAACTGTTTGGAATTTCAATCGTATATACTCTTATTTCACAGACACTCTAAGTATGCGATATGGACATACAACTGTGAATTCAAATCACATGCTGTTAATATGTGATGACGTAGTGCATCCTGGAGAGACCTTGGTACTCAGTTAAGGCTTCCACCAGCTGTGGTTCGTGATATTGAGAATGAATGATCCTGTTCAATTCCTAAATTCGTCGACGTTGTCAACTTCCTGGCAAACTTATTGACTGTCGGACCGTTTGATAAGCACCGCATAAAGTTCAATACCAGAAAGGTAAAGGTCGTATCCACCGGAAGAATTCTTGCCCGTCTGAACAATCCTGAAATACCGCAAAGCTCCCACTTCTCAATCGATTGACCAGGTAGCAGAGAAAGGATGTTCCCCTTTGAGTTTATGATCTCTAACGTGTTCCCTCAACAGTATCCATGTCGACCCATCTAGGGAACCTTCGAGATTCCAATGACGGATTATCGAATCGCCAACTGTTAGCCAATGTCTCAGGGTGTAATGATTGAGATACAATACACATGTCTCACTCAAGGCAACGCACCACTATGATTTCTCCTCGCCTTTGGTGCTGCTAGTTACTCTGCCCCTAAGCCGAGGATCGAGCACATCACTCGCCTCTCCATATCCGTCGGAGGATCGAGTGGCGATTATTCTTGTCTGTCTATTTCTGTTCATTGTATGGATAACTCCACGTGTGTCAAAATCCATCCTGTAAGAAAAAATACCTGCGTTGGTCGAAAAACTGGTGGAAATTATGGAACAATATTCCGCTCGATATTCGTGAAACTATAGCTCTTTCTACATTTAAAGACCGGCTATTTAACTATTTCTTTAACAAATTCATCGCTAATTTTTACACATCTAGAATTCAAACATGGAAAACAGTCTGCCCACATTGTCGCTCAATTAATAGAAAGAACTGTTGTTGATTATTGTTTTTGTTTACATATGTTTTAGCATAGTATATACTTATGGGGGCTGACCTCGCTGGGACTTCGAGTTCGTACGTTAGTCCCTCATTTAGCACCTTTTTTTTTAACTCTTTTTATCATTATTCTTTGTCACTAAAGGAAGTTACTATAAATAAATAAATAAATAAATAAATAAATAAAACAATTAGAATGATAATCATTACCATAATTATCATTAGATTTGCCATTAGTAGTTATAAGATAAAGTTAAATAAATCCTTACATTCTAAAATAGAAAACCGTCAATCATCACTGAAAAGCGGGATTTTTCATGAATAACCCTCATCTGGGTTCAAGAATGCTCTGTAAGATCGAAGAAACGCGAAGGAAAACTACTTTCCAGAGGTTTTTTCGAAGAAAATCCGCCATATCTATTTATCCTTAGCAGACACCTAAACGCGCAAAATCGCGCCAATACGAAAGATAACCCTACTTCCTGCGTCAGTGCAGTTTCAATTGCAAGCTTAGTTTGTAAATCCACAAAACAATGAGAATTCAATTCCCCTCAATCAACTTGAGAAGCACTTGATCTTCTACTTCTCGGCATGATCCGTGGCATCTGCGACCAGTATGACCAGGGGAGGGAAATGTCCTGAATTTCTGGTAATGCCAAATGGTTGAGTGAGAAGATTGAAATGGTACACTATTAAGCATTGTGAAAAATTACTAGGTCAGCTAAGTACAGTCGCATCCCGATGGCTCGAACCTTCAGGAGAATTGAAAAAGGTTCGAGTCTTCGGGAGTTGAGAACAAAGGACTGGAAATGAGGAAAAAACGTTGTTAACTTTTTCTATATTCATGCAGTATTCATTTCAATCCAATTTCATTATAGAGAAGTCCAGTGAAAATGGAACACTAGATTACTATTGAGATTAGAACATAACGAAACGGTGAGACTAACACGTTCTTTTAAAGCAAAAAGGACAAAGATTGCAAGACTGCTTCAAAATTAACTGCCTGTACACACCGCCACACCTTACGGCGAGTCCCAGGCGCGGTTGTTTAACCCCAGATTAATTCCCACTGACCAATAGCTAGCGTAAGATCTCACCATCCGCAATCGGTAAGTGCGGTATTTTCAAGTGCCTTTACAAGCGTGCAAAACGTCTGGCAACAAAACCCAGCGTGATCTCCAATGACCAATGAGAAGAATATCTGTCATCTATTCTTGTTTCTAATGTTTATCCTTCCTCTATCGAGCAGAGGGTAACCAATTAAACCGATCACCAGCACTGGACTCCCCCTCAACCGATATCAGATCCACTGCAGTCCCACCCTATGTCAAAGGCCCCTCCGCATTACTGGCAGACCTACGTAGGAGAGAATCAAGGAACACGAAAGGGATATCCGGTAAGACGCAGAACTCCGCTGTCTCAAAGTACGTCCACAACACCGGACATCGCCCACTCTGGAACGAACTAGAGTTTATTGATCGTGATCCTCATTTCTATACACGCAGGGTGAAAGGGGCACTTCACAAAATAATTCACCGTAACAACATTAACAGGGACAGTGGAATTGACATCCCGGAAGCCTAGATGCCGACGATCAAAAAACACAACAGCAGGAAAGCCGTGCGACAGCGAACCACGGAGGGAACCGATTCAAAAGTTGCACCAATCACAACCGTAGACTTCTATCCAATCATAGCTGAGCACAACAGCATATAGGTACCGCATATAGACTTCTATCCAATCATAGCTGAGCACAACAGCATATAGGTACCCCGTACTCAGTCGACTTCATGAGCCGAAGAAGACTAGCAGTATGCAGTCGAAACGTCGCGACCCACATCCCAAGTGAGACAAATTATTACACTTCTCTTTTAAAGCGTCATTTACCACGATGACTAACCACAACCGATACAGAATACAGTGATCACTTTGATCCAAAGCCTCTAAACGATCGTTTACTTTCATAAAAAAGGTTACGTACGACCAGGCTATTCTCTTAATTTCGCCAGTTCATTCAAGGCATCTCTTTTAGCTTTAGTTTCTATCTTTAACTCGTTCCCTGCTTTTTTTATGGTCGTGTTGTGACCTGAAGATGAAATGAAAGTGATGACTGACTGAGCCTAACAAGTTAGCTGTAATTTCAATTGCTTCTTTTCTGCAATGACTTGAAAAAATTAAAGCCTGAACAAGATGCTAACCCAGGCCTCCCAGCCACTACCTCAACGGCGCGCTAATACCTACTGAATTACGAAGCCAAATGTTTGGAGTGGGTTCTTCTTTCCCGATAAGGATCTGATGGCAATTTAAATGGAAAAAATCTTTTCAGCTGTTTGACAGATAATCCATCGATGTTAAAAGGAAAAGTTGAAATAAATTACTTCTTGGAATTAGGGGTCTGCTAAAGAAATTAGAGAACATTGAGACGTACATACTGTGTTGACTTACATCCGTAGCCCTTCAATGGACGTGTGCTTACCAGAAACAGAACACTCACGTCTGGACTCGTCTCTCGATAATTCCAGTAAATTTAAGGCGTCTCTTTTAGCTTTGGCTTCTACCTTTAAGTTCTCGTCTGCTTTTCCAAGCTTCTTGTGTTGGGTATCTAATTCTTTCTTTAACTTCTAATTCCATCTTTTAAGTTCCCCAAGTTCTCCCGAAACTTTCTTTAACTGGTCTTCGAGGTCGGCTACTTCTCGCTCCTTCGCATTTAGCTTGGACTTCTGTTCCTCTTTTTCTTTCTCCATCTCTGTTTCTTGGATAAGCCATTGATGTTAAAAGGAAAAGTCTGATATTAATCATCTCTTATAATCAAGGTTTCTGCTAAATAAGTCAAAGTACATTGAAACGTAGATACAGTGTTCGCATTAGATCTATAACCCTTTAATGGACGTGTGCTTACCAAAAACAGAATTTTTACGTCTGAAGTCTTCTCTCGATAGTTCTAGTTCATTCAAGGCATCTCTTTTAGTTTTAGCTTCTACCTTCAACTCCTCGTTTACTTTTTTAAGCTTCTTGTTTAGGATATCTAAATCTTTTCTCAACCTGTCATTCTTTCCTTTAAGTTCCCCACGTTTTTCCGAAACTCTCTTCAACTGTTCTTTGAGGTCGGCTTCTTCTCGCTCCTTCGCATCAAGCTGTAACTTCTGTTCCTCTTTTTCTTTCTACGTCTCATCTGATCTCTTTTGTAGATATTTCGAGTTTAAAGTTAACGTCTTTGACTTATTCTTGAAACCAGTCATTAAAAAGAAACAAACTCATAATTAGGTAAACAAAACACAAGAAAGACATGAGTCAAGTGAAGAAGGGATCCAGGTTAGCTGCAATCTAAGTCAGTGCACAAAGAAGCCTGAAAAAATTCAAGCCTTTACCAGATGCGAACCCAAACCTCCTATATGCTAGAGGGTGTTATTAATAACTGAGCTACGAAGCCGCATTTCATTCTTTCCCGTTTAATAATCTGATTTGGGAAACGGGGATGGCGTAGTAGTGAGTCCTCGCCTCACACCGCTGTGGCTGGGTTCGATCTGGGACCTTGCGTCATATGTGAGATTAATTTGTTGTTGGTTCTTTTCTCAATTTAAATGAGATCCCTTTGCGTTTATAATGATGACTCCGACTCCGTCGGAATTAAAAACCAGTCTTAAGGGATTGTTGGTGGACATACTTACAAAAGAAGAACTACCTTTGGCATTATATTTAAGGCTTTAAGCTCATCATCATTTGGTTTGTTCTTTTCCCATGGGGCGCGTTCCAGTCGACCAAAATTTCCGGAAATTCTGGTTCAAAATCGAACGGAACAGGAAATTTCCGGAAATTAGTCTCGAAAATTTTAGTCAGGCTTCTATGGTTTTCCATTTTCCGGAAATATTCTGAAAAGTACATACAAAATGTGAAAATCGCAACTCCTATAAAATCTAAAATGATAGAAATTTTATGCAGAGGACTCCTTCGAAACTACTGTTGAATTAAGTAATTAAGTAATTCTTTATTTAATGTGGCACCACACTTAGCTACAATCTACTTTCCAGGAGGC